TCGAGTGATGTGCGTTGTTCGAGTATGGGGGCCATTCGAGTCCCTTTGAATCTCGAAGGGGGTTACGGTAAGGTGATGGACTTTCGTGTCTGCTATTCAACATCATGTTAGAAGGTGTGATCAGAAGAGCTGGGTTAGACACGAGTGGCACGATCTTCAGAAAGTCCATCCTGCTTCTTGGCATCGCCGATGACATTGGCATCATGGCACGGAACTTTCGATGGCGGAAACGTACATCAGACTGAAGGCTGAAGCTAGGCGGATTGAACTTGTCATCAACGCATCAAACACAAAACACATGAGAGAAAGAGGTTCTAGGGAAGACAATGTTAGCCTCCCACCCCGAGTTTAGATTGTCAGTGACGAAATCGAGGTGGTCAATGAGTTCGTGTATTTGTGCTCACTGGTGACCGCCGAAAATGATACCAGCAGAGAATTTCAAAGACGCATAATGGCAGGGAATCGGGCCTACTTTGGACTCCGGAGGACGCTCCGGTGGAATTTAATTCGCCGCCACACGAAGTTGACTATCTTCAAGACGCTGATTAGATCGGTGGTCCTGTACATCTACGGTGGAGTGCAGATGGATGACGGAACGTGGAGGAGGCAAAAAAAACCACGAATTGCACCAGCTGTTGGGAGAACCATCCATCGTCCACATTGCAAAAATTGGGCAACTACGGTGGGCTGGGCACGTCGTAAGAATGCTGCACGATGATCCAGTGAAAATGGTTCAAGAAAGCGACCCAACAGGAACAAGAAGAAGAAGCGCGCAGCGGGCATGGTGGATCGACCAAGTAGAAACTGACCTGCGGACCCTTCGCAGACTACGAGGCTGGCAAAGTCTGGCCATGGATCGAGTAGAGTGGAGAAGACTTCTTCGGACAGCAGCGGACAACAAGGCCTTAGCCCGATTGCAAGCAAGCAAGCCATAAAATTGATCCAAGGACGAAAAAACCGTGGAACTGTGATATTAGAATGAATTTGGGGTCTTAACATAAACATGGACCCGAATGACCATGGGACAGTCCACCGGAAGATCCGTAAAAGTGGTCCATCCATGATACTGTTTCTAGAGCTCCGTACTTTTGTTGAAAACACTTTGAACTGTGTTATATGAAAGAATTTAGGGTTGAGACATCAACATGAACCTGGATGGCCATTGGACCGTCCTCCAGAAGATCCGAATCATCCGTAAAAGTGGATCATTCATAAAACTGTAAAAAACCCGTTGTTTTTGGAACTGCGATTTAAGATAGAAGAGGGTCGTGACATAAACATGGATCCAGATGGCCATGGAAATCTCCTGCAAAAGATCCGGAACATCCGTAAATTTGTCATACTGTGAAACTGATCCTAGAGCTCTGCCGTTCATTTTTAAACACTGTGATATAAGAAACCACTGGACCACTTGTACGGATTTTCCGTATCTTCCGGAGGACGGTCCCATGGCTATCTAGGTACATGTTTATGTCACGACCACAAATTCATTCTCATATCACAGTTCCTAATGTTGTTGGAAAAAAAACTGCGGAGCTCTAGGATCAGTTTCATTGATTGACTTCTTTTAAGGATGTTTTGGACTTACCAGAGGATGGCCTCATGACTATTTGGGTCCATGTTTATGTCATGACCCCACAGTTTCACATGCTTTCGAAAAAACCGTAGAATTCTAGGATCAGTTTCGAGGATTGACCATTTTTAAATATGTTCTAGATCTTGCGGAGGACGGTCCCATGGCCTTCTAGGTACATGTTCATGAAACGACCGCAAATTAATTTATATATGACTGTTCCAAGTGTTTTCAAAAAAACTTGGAGCTCTAGGATCAGTTCCATACATTGACCACTTTTACGGATTTTTCGGATCTTTCGGAGGACGGTCCGATGGCCATCTGGGTACATGTTTATGTCATGATCCCAAATTCATTCCAATTTCACAGTTCCTAACATTTTCAAGAAAACCACGTATATTTAGGATCAGTTTCGTGAATTTTCCACTTTCACGGATGTTCCGGATCTTCTGGAGGACGGTCTCATGGCCATCAAAGTCCATGTTTATGTCACGACCCCAAATTCATTCTATCATCTCAGTTCTTAGTGTTTTTCAAAAACTGCGGAGCTCTAGGATCAGTTTCATGGATTGACCACTTTTACGGATGTTCCGGATCTTCCGGACGACGGACATCCAGGTTCATGTTTATGTCACAACCCCAAATTCTTTCTATCATCACAGTTCCTAATGTTTATTAAAAAAAAACGCGGAGCTCTAGGATCAGGATCGTGGATTTACTGCTTTTACGGATGTTTCGGATCTTCCTCTGGACGGTCCGATGGCCATCTGGGTCCATGACCAAAATTCAATCTTATATCACAGATCCTAATGTAAAAAAAAAACCGGGGCTCTAGGATCAGTTTCATGGATTGTCCACTTTTACGGATGCTCCGGATCTTCCGAAGGACGGTCCCATGGCCATCCAGGTACATGTTTATGTCACGGCCCCAAATATTTTTTTATTTCACAGTTCCTAATGTTTTCAAAAAAACCGCAGAGCTCTAGGATCAGGTTCATGGATTGACCACTTTTACGGATGTTCCGGATTTTTCGAGGACCGTTCCGTTGTCTCCAGGATCCATCTATAGGAACCATGACTGTATTCTGGCTAATTGTGAACATTTGTGCCTATTAATCTAAGTTACAGATCTTGCGCCTCTTGCAAAACCCTACAAACACATCTTTCAAAAAAAGTGTAACAACTCTTTTCGCTTTTAAAAAAAGTAGACTACTCTATTTTCAATCTTATTACAATCAAAATTATTTTCAAATCCAAGGAATTCTAAAGGTACCACAATTTTTGAAATTAAATAAGAAATGGCTAAGTTGTGCCATTGCAAACTTGCCGTTACACGTTTTTCGTAGGCTTCGTAGTCGGCGTAAAGTTTTTTACCCACCGTATTCGGAGTGTTAATATTATACACTGTTCGATCAGACACATTTACCGACCGAATTATTTCTTTCATGCATACTCCGGCGCGCAACAAAGCGACAACGGCTGACAGATTGCTCTCTTGTTTCGACATCTTTACGTTTACTCAACATTGTTTATTTAAATCTTACACCTAACAGTATATTCAATTGCAACGATTAATTCCCTTTATTAGGTTTATAATAAAATTTAATCTTATTTGAATGTGGAACAAATAAAGAGTTTGAAAAAATTAAGCACCGAACCCAGGCCAAACCAACCATCCCACTTCATTCCTGACGCCACAAGATTCATTCAACTCCACCGTGTTTAGTTTGATCGTTTAATTGTACCGTTGGTTTCTAAAAATAAAATCGTTGTGTGTTTCCCCATCTCGTTTACTAATATTTGCATGCACATTATCAAATATTGCCATCTATCCAGCAGCTTGGATATCACATGCATGGGAACCGGTTCCATAGTGCAATTAATTCGCTCAATTTTTATCTCCTAAAAATATAGGTCACCACTTTTTTTCTGCAACTTGTTTTTGTTAAAAATGTATACCTAACAAGTGGATAGCAAAATGCCAAATTTTGAAAATTCGAATAAAAAGCTAGATTCCCGAGGGATTGAGAGTCAGTCACAAGTTGTCCATTCAGTTGGTTGGAGAGGGACGATATCGAGTGGATACTGCAAAGCAAGCAGCGAGATGAAGTTAGTTGCTTGGACCGCGGTGGTCCTTTTGGCTTCTCTCATTCGCGAAGGACAGGTAAGAATAATTGATCGAGTTCGTGTGTCTATGAGAGTATGTTTTTAATGGGAATAATCATCGTAGGCACATAAACATGACAGCTCAGAAGAATATATCACTAGCACGGATGGAGTCATGGCATCGAAATTTCTTCGCCTTGCTGCCTCATCGTCGATAAAATCGCATATCACAGCGATCAATAGAACGCTTGATGAATTCGTGGATTCGATAAAGGAATTGAAAACGCCCGGGCAAACCAAAGAATTACATTCTGCAATGCATATCCTGAAGCTATTTGAGCACAAAACGAGTGGTTTGGCATTCCACATAACGGGTTTATTGACGAAATTGATTCACGATCGTACGACTCCAATAAGTCACCTTTTCGAACAGTTTGAAGAGGTCCCCGAAGATTTTGGACACTTTAGATCAAAACATTGGCATACGAATCTCCATGATGTTACAGAAATGTTCGGATGTGCTCGAGTGGAACAGTTCGCGATTATATTAAAGAATGGGTTCATTAAAGTTGTGGAAATATTTGCAAATGTTAAACAAATCGGAAAAATTGTTCTTTATGCGGATGATTTCCGTGGTGGCAGTGAACATAATCAAAATCCTGCACAGTTGAAAAGTATGGTCAATAAATTGGCACTGAACATAAAAGATGTGAGTGATATAGTAACAGACTTTGTCTCGGTCTTTAAAAGTACAGTGCACGGGGTAGAAAAGGCCAACAAATTCCTGCTTAGCTTGAAATCCAAAGCGCATATGATTAGCAGCGAAATGAAGTCTACTGCAGAACAAGCTAAAAAAACTGCCAAAACCCAGTCGATAAGCGTGCAGAACAAGTATACGGCAGCCCAGCTATCTATTAAATCGAATCTGACCAATGCACTAACCAGCTTGAACATCTTTTCTGGCAGCAAAATGTTGAAAAAGCTGGCTAATGATAACAAAAAAATCTATGTAGAATTGTATAACTTCTTGAGAAAGCGCAGCCGCTCGGACCTATCAGAAATTGAGGAAAACTATTCCAAATTAGGAAGAAGGCTTTTTAAGAGCATTTACCAAACGACGGATATCTTCATCGATGCTGTTCATCGCACTGGTCTCCGTCTGGCAGATATCATACTAGAGGGAGCATCACACGCTGACTCTTGCTACCATACTTTCCACAAGAAATTTACTTCACCGTTCAAATCATTGTCGACCTTTGTTTCAAATTGCTTAAATAAAGAGACAAAGAGGTGGACTTCTATTGCCAATAATGTCGAAGATATGCTGGAGTTGGCTGAGTGTAATAGCCAAGAGTTATCGTCCAACTTGGGTCGGTGTTCATGTATGTACGTTAACTATGCAACGTTCAGCGAAGATTACGTCCGTGCAAAGGCCTGTTTAAAGACGGTAAGAAGTAGTTTTTTTTAATGGTTATGAATAATTTCGTCTAACGAGTGATTTACCTGTTTCAGAATTTGGAAGATTTTGAAGAGCTACATAAGGTGCTGAAACCACTGCTGTGTAACGTAGATCAACTAGTAGAACGGGAAGTCAAGGCCAGTATCTTTAGAATGGACAACTGTTTGATTACCAATTTGCATGAAGACATAGAAGGCCTTAAGTATATGCGTTCGGCAATAGAAATTTGCGGTGGAATGAATGTTGAGTGCCCCCGACACAATCGCGATGATGATCGAAAGGAAATGTTCATCCGTGACCGGGATGATAAGGATAGGGATAAGGATCATGATAAGGATAAGGATCATGATAAGGATAAGGATCATGATAAGGATAAGGATCATGATAAGGATAAGGATCATGATAAGGATAAGGATCATGATAAGGATAAGGATAATGATAAGGATAAGGATAGGGATAATGATAAGGATAAGGATAGGGATAAGGATAAGAATAAGGATAAGGATAATGATAAGGATAAGGATAAGAATAAGGATAAGGATAAGGATAATGATAAGGATATGAATAAGGATAAGGATAAGGATCATGATAAGGATAAGGATAAGGATCATGACAAGAATAAGGATAAGGATCATGATAAGGATAAGGATCATGATAAGGATAAGGATAATGATAAGGATAAGGATAGGGATAATGATAAGGATAAGGATAGGGATAAGGATAAGAATAAGGATAAGGATAATGATAAGGATAAGGATAAGAATAAGGATAAGGATAAGGATAATGATAAGGATATGAATAAGGATAAGGATAAGGATCATGATAAGGATAAGGATAAGGATCATGACAAGAATAAGGATAAGGATCATGATAAGAATAAGGATAAGGATCATGATAAGAATAAGGATAAGGATCATGATAAGGATAAGGATCATGATAAGGATAAGGATCATGATAAGGATAAGGATCATGATGATGATGAAGATGATCATATGTGTAGTGGTGTCGCTACTCGTCGACCGCCACCGGGAGGGACCGGGATGGGACCGTCAACTGAATAAATTTGAATACAATTTAATATACATACAGAAGCCTGAATTTATTTACCTATGGTGAGATCTGACCCTTCATACTTAATCAGAGTTCGAGCAACTTCCCAGGAGTATCCGAAAAATCTCCAGGTGTTGGCCAATCTGGTCCTGGGTTTGTAATGTGACAAGAAATGAGTTTGTTTTCGAGTTCTCATGTAGTTTTATATGCCACACGATGGGTTTTGGCTCTTTCGGGAGTCATGTCACCAAATGCAGTCTGGGACATTCGATATGTTCCATTTCGTCGAGGATCTTGTTTTAAAATGTTGATGTTGTTTGCATGATGTATTGGATGATGGGCTTATGTTCTAGTTACGAACTGCCCACTTCTTCGGGGGTATTCTTCTTCTTCTTCCTCGAATTTCAAGTTTATTGCTTATCGCATATTAGCTTATTGCGGGCTCTCAACTTAGTGTTCAAGATGTACTTCCACAGTTATTATTTGAGAGCTTTCGATGCCTGTACCATTTTTGCATTAGTATAATTGTGTGGAAAGTCCAATCATACTTCTATGCCCAGGGAAGTCGAGAAATGTTCCAACCCGAAAAACTCCTAAACCGGACCGGGAATTGAAGCCATTCACCTCCAGCATGTTATTGCTTTGTAGCTGCGCCTTTACCGACTGAGCTAAGGGAGGCCTCGGCAGTACTCGAAATACAACCGGTGGCGGCAAATGTGATCTATGATACTCGGCTGACTGGCATTGATTTTGTTTTTTTTTTTGAATTTCGGTGAAATTTGATGTGTTGCGTGATGGGTTTTAGTGCTAGTCAGGAAATTGCTGCTTTCCAGGTGGTACCTGAAATATGTCCATGGGACCATGGTATCTTTCATTTGGTTGTTGTTGCGTCCAATTCGGTGGTTGCCTGCCGAGAAACATGACTTCCGGTATTTTGTTACACACACACATGATCATGTCCCCTCACTTTCCCCTATTGCTAATCCCTCTTCCTACAGCAACTGCGAAGAAAGCTCCGTTTAATCAGCTACCAGCACTCTTTGCAATGTGAAAAAATCAGGATTCAGGGCTCATCTACCGGGAAATTTTAGATTTTATTGCAGATTTTCATAAAAAAAACCTACAGAATTTGTAATGTTTCAACTCTTGTACATACTCTGTAATGTGGTCGTAACTCTCGGTTTGAAAAATCTCCAGCTCAGCCTCCTATCGCTTTTGATGAAGGAATTTATCTTCCTCCAGCGCTTTCTCCTAGATGCTCTTCTTCTGCTGCAACTGGTCTAGGGATTCCTCCAGGCTGACCTCAATGGTACTTCCTTTTCCAGATTCGTATCTGGCATCACTCCTCGCACTATTCTTTCTGCTAGTTGGTTTCTTTGGGACTTCTTGGTTCCTGTTGGCACCTTCACCATATTTGTACAATTCGAGCACGTCTACGGAACCTCCTTTACACCTTTTGTCTTACGAGCACAACTATAATGGGGCCAGAAATCGCAGACATCACACTGGACCATATCTTCTACGTGGTCATGGCCTTCACAAAGCGTACAGTTTCGATAGCTGTTCTGTTCTTCACTCAACGGTGGTGTTGATCCCTCTGTCATTTTGAGTTTATATCCGATGTTGTTCTTCAAGAATGTTCGGATTGATGAAAGCAACTTCCTCAGAGCAGTCTCGTTTTGGACAGCTTGAAGCTTAAATAAGTTTTGTTATAAGCATTAAGTTTGGTTTAGATTTTATATTGGTTTAATAAAACCTATTTCAGCTTCAAGCTGTCCAAAACGAGACTGCTCTGAGGAAGTTGCTTTCATTAATCCGAAAATGTCTATATTTTTAAGCGCGCAAACATGATTTTCTATGGATCACTTTCCTTAGTTTAAGGTTCACTGCTGAATGTGTTATGGATCAATTGCAATATGTTTATGGGTAATTCGTTCAATTTCTATGCTCATTCATAAGAAATTTAACGGTACATTTTTACATTACCACATTTTTTTTATTTATTATGATTTTGCTAAAAAAAAATCTCTGTGTTTTTATGGTTTTTATCAATTTGAACGATTAAAAAAAATCTAAAATTGATTGTGTAAAAAAAAAAGATCTTATTCCGGATTTGTATCTGAAGGACGAAAAGTGGAAGAGGCTGATAGGCAAACAGAAGGTCATCAAGATGGAGTGAATCAAGTGGGCCGCCATCCGGGAAGTTGAAGCATTTGAGTAAGGGTTGGTCGCCGGTAAGTGCTGCCAGCAGATGAATCAAGAGGTATTCGAAACAAAATTAGTAAGAAATGTCTATTCAAATCGATTTAATACAGTTGAACAAATTTCAAAACTATATACGTGCCAGATTTGGAAATAATATTTTTGAATCTGACCAATTCCACGCCAAATCGGTCAGTCACCAAACTTGACTATCTTCGATCTGAATGATACTTGGCACATATTTTCAGTATGATAGACCTAGTATTTTCCGCAGGAGAGGAGACCCTTTTGACTCAAGGGTAATTTTTTAAAAGGGCCTATGTGTTTTTGCACACATACTTAAAAAAAAATGTAGTTCGAAAACAGTTGGTTGTAGAAAAAAATTTACTAAGAAGGAGTTGTAGGAAACTAATAAGACTTTATAAAAAAATATACACGGAATTTTTTTTTTCGTTTTTTTACAAAAAAAAAATAAAATTAAACCTCAAAATTCAAATAACAAAAAAAATATATTTTTGATTTTTTTTTATATTTTTTTTAATAAAAACTTGAATAGAAAGCAGAAGTTTTGAAAACAACTCCAGGATGGACAAACTTTTAATAAAAAAGTTTTTCAAAGAGCAACTTTTAAGGCATTTTTGAAACTTTCATTATTTACGGCAAAATGTTCAGTTTGATGTCAGTATATGAATATAAAAATCATTTCAAACGATAATGCTCATACCGATAAACTTCCTAAATGTAACCGTTTTCAAGATATTTCAAATTTACTTTCATCATAATCAATTTTTTTGTAGAAAATATGCCCTTTTCGTAAGTTATACGTGATTGTCCATCAAATATGATAAGTTTTGCAAGATATGCATGTACTTACCTTCAACTTACCCTTGCACCAATAGACTATTGGAAGATTGGTTTTAAACTTAAGAGATAAATAAGATAAATAAATGAAATACCCATGCGTTTTTATTTGCATCTTACATTTATTACTTTCGATCGTCTTTAATAATAATAATTTGTATATAAACCTTTTCGTTGAGTATATTTTTATTTGATGAACTTTTGATTGGTATGTTTTTATATGTTATGAATTTTTAATTCTACCTGATTCTGAATAATAAATGTAAAAAGGAAGAATAGCAGCTTGTTGATTATTCCAGTAACTACTTTGGGCAGCATCTTGAAGAACAAATGAATAATTTCCGGAAAAATCACAAATTATGACAACTTCTCCATTTTTTAGAGTATTTTTTGTATTTCTCAAGAAACTAGATTGCTGAGTTTTAATATAATCATGGGATACCAGTTTTTCCAACTTTTCGCAAAAAAAAAAAGGAACAAATCCATCTACTGGTTTTACAAGTTTCTCTAAACTACATCGATCAGTTGAAACCCATTGTTCAAAACATATTTCAGACATACCCTGTTCCTCGAATTTTTCTGAAAAACTTCTTTCAAAATCTGAGAGACCTGGACAACGTTCGCATTCACGGAGATAACAATGTTTAGTTCTGGATGATGAGCTGCATAATATTTCTTCAAAATAATGGTTGAAATCTTTTTCGAATGAATATTTTCTAAGACAATGAAGCATTAAATTAATATTTTCATGGATGGTACAAACACACATATTGTGAGAACCTGAACTACCAAGTAATTTGCAATGCTTTGGTTTAAGTGCTGCAAATGAACTAAATCCAATGCTATTTTTACTAACTTCTTGAAATTTAATAAAAGCTTCTCGCAATGTACAAACTAAAAGTCGCTTACCTTCCTTCTTCACTGAAACGTAATCGTTTAGTCCTGGCGTGGCTCTGCTTATCTGGTCGCTTTCGAAGAACTGCAATACCTCGTTTTTAATTTCGGGATCCAAACCGTGTCCTAACCTTTCGTTGGGGGTGGCCAATACTCCTTTCCCGTTTGCCAAGCATCGAGCTTGCAATACAATGTATTTATTTGTTTCAAATTCGTCCATTACCGTTTGCGATGACCAAGATTTCGGCAAAATCGTCAGAATCCTTATTTGATCGTCGCTCGATGAACCTGGATCAGCAAATCTCTCCTTCAGTTTTCCGATCATCTCATTGTGTTCCGCAGTTTTCAATTTAAGTTGCTCCAGGTCATCTTCTTCCGCTTGAAAACCAAAGATGCGTTTCTTAATGCCATTGGTAATGTCCATATACTTTCTCCGGGGATAGTTAACATTCTGGAATTTTTTTGTCGATATTGGCGATACGTTGATACCAGCTATGCCAGCTCAATATTATGCATCCTGGAAAATTGTTGCTCTCCACTATCTTGAGATGATGCTGTTGTTATTGACGTAGTTGATGGCATTTCTTCGAGGCTATGTCGAGATGTAGATGGCTGCGGCTCCGCGATGTCCATGACTGACGGTTGCACTTCTAGTTCCAGATTTTCAGCACATGGTTCGATTCTATTCAAATTCAAGCGACACGTATCACAGATTGATAGAGATGTATCCAAATAAAATTTCCACTCTAGGAACTTATGTTTTTCAATCAAATTTTCGGATAATTTACGAAGCATTGACGAACACCGTTTATAAGGAAACGGCTTGCAACACTTGACCTTCTTGAATTCCATATTCAAATTATACTTGTTCACTCAAAAAGATATTTTTAGTGATGTCTGTTTTCAAAAGGATGGTCATGCTTAAATACAAGCGTAGGTACCATTTGGATATTAAGGAATAAATATTGTTTTGGTATTGAAGCTACTCTAACAGAGAAGCTCTTTTTTTTCATGAAAAATACCATGGAAGACATTATAATGTTCCTAAAATAAT